ATTTAACATTCTGGAAAAAAAAGAACACCGAACATGCCTACAAAAAATGTAGTACACGATATTTAAAAAGCAAACATTTACATGAAAGCGCACATATCTCTGCATTTACATATTTACACAAGCCAGAGTTGTTGAATGGAAAAACGTATGCTATGTGAAAAATGTGTCATCAAGTGTTTTCATCCTTTTTTAAAGTAATTAATTCCAGTGTATGCAATTTATTTACGCCGTGGTCATGTTCCGATTTCAAATAAAAGTAAAAAAAAAAATGATAATAATAGTTCCAGCGAGCACTGTGGATCTTGGTGCACCGAGACTCCATGTACGTCTGTCTGTCTGTCTGTCTGTCTGTCTGTATGTCTGATTATTCAATGGGAATTTACATTTGTATCGGTGTTTGCCTTCGTATATGGCGGCTACAACCATCTTTATTTATATAACTTTATAACATTAATAAGTCCTTTGCATATATAAATGAACACTTGCATAACAATGATTTATCGCTTTCATTAATTGTGTCAGAAAGAAGACAATTAAAATTAACACAACTCAATTCTCTTTACGAGACCATTTTAAAAATGTTTATTTTTAAAATATTTAAGTATTTCTTTAAAAACAATTTCATTCGTTTACACAAAATCTGCAAATTATTCACTAAACAATTTAATCATTTTTACCTCCAATATATTTCTATCTATTGTAAAACTTTATATTTATATATATAGTAAATATATAATATTTTATCCAATGCTCATAATGCGTCAGCCCAATGCATACTGAATTTGAAAACAGAATCAAAGAACATTTCAACATTTATGCATTATTGTTTCCAAAACGTTACCACCATATCGTTTAAATTATTTCAGGAAACACAAATATAATATATTGAAGTAATTCCAGAAAAATTGCTACATACTAATAGTAACATATCACACTCGGTCTTCATAGCAAACTTGTCGATTGAGATTATTTAAGTTAACACCCGGCAGAATCATATGATATTATTCGAACGCATGATTACTGCCAAACGGGATATCAATTTTTTTTTCTGAAAGTGTCCCGTTTGGCTTTGGTAGCTCAAAACTCTCCAAAAGTATGCTCCTTCACCTCTACTTGGGCTATTGTGGTAAGAACACAATAAACAAAAACTTTCTTTTCCTTTTTATTATTAACTTTTATATTGCACTTGTCTGGTGTCTTACAATCACAATCAGGACTCATAAATCTTTAAGGAAGATTTAGATTTAAACAGAAACCTTCTGGTAATAAACACTTACAATCAAAAATCGATTAAGTAGTTCTTACTCCCCAAATACAAAATTCGGAATCTTAACCCTCAAAAATTTTTCTTATTTCCGTTATCTGGATAGTAATTATACAAAACAGACTAAAGACTCAGTTAGTCGGTACGTACCGTAAGACTTTAAGTCAAAGCAAAATGCACAACGAACACCACCCATGCTTTTGATAGGAATAAAACCGAAGAAAAATTAGTGTATATGAAATTTTTTTTTGTAAAGAACATGTTGTGACCCTCTGTATATGTGTTCAATTTCATTTGTATATTTCAAATCTATACCCTATCGTGATTGCCACTGATAATCGGAAAATAGGTGGCCATGACATTAAATTCATCTCGTTGTTCTGATTTGCAATGGACTTGAATTTAGAACACTTCCCTTGAGGTCTTTAATATGTTAAAAACATAGCATAACAAATATGCGATCTTTAGGAAAAAAAATAATTATACAATGGTTAATCGCTAATATAAATAAAAACAGACTTTTTACATAGCAAATAAAGATTTTATTTTTTATTCTTATATATGAATGTATGTATGTTTGCTTATAGAAATTAAAAATGATAAATTGAACTATTGACTGCTTCATTACACTTGCATTTACTTCACACGCTATATGAGTTTGAATAAATTTACTTTTATATTTAATTCCAATAATATTTAATACATTATCGTAAGCGTGGCTTATTGAGATTAGGATTTATATTGAAGAAAAGTAACGTGCCACTTATATTTAAATGTTAAATAGCTCACGAGAAAGCCATATGTAGCTCGAGTAATAATAACTATTACAAGACACAGTAGTAATCTTATAAATTGATTGTAATCAGAATATATATCCAAATTGCTTAGCATATATGATACAGACGGATACAAATCATAACTGCGCTCCGCACTTACATCATATAGGTTCTTAAAAGCATGTTTAAACACTTTCTTTCTAAATACGGAGTTATTTTCGTCATACAATTCTTCTGTAATGAAATAATTGATCAGGTCAAGACGTGTGGCTGTGTATTGGTATTTTGAAAGTAGATACGCCAATATAATTCCAAAGTTTTTCCTCTCGCTAAACATAACAATTCCATGAATTATTAAAAAAGAAACCGTACTTATTGAAAACCATTCGATTAATTGTGTACTCTTGACTTGACTAGTAGTGAACTTCTTAATAATAATGATAGCGAAAAATAAAGAACAGAGAAAGTTCATATATAAACCCAATTTGTTCAACGCTAATAGTTTTGTTGGTTTGTTCACACCTTGCACATAATATGTGCTCCGGCATATCTCACAAAAACCATACTTTCTCCTCGTAGTGTTCTTCTTATAGGTCTCCCATCTCAGTAAACACATAGTGTGAACATATTTCAAGCTTCCAGTGCAACGACATGGATTAACAAATTTGTTGCTTGGAGTAGCAGGTTCACCGGTTTGACATATTCTGCAGTCTTGCATTTTTTGGGACGCCAAAACCTGTAAGAGACTACTCATTAATCAGAGTATATCAACTATTTAGTATATATGTTAGTTATGTATATGAGTTGAAATATATATCATATTAATTATATATCATATTATTGGTAATTAAATAAATTTGTATTAATTTTGCAAACATTTCTTACACATATTAGAACTGCATCAACGAGTACTTCTGATTCAATGAAACATCAAGTATATTACACTTTTTTATAAGATTCTGATTAATTTTATTAAATATTATTTACTTTTTAAATATTTACTTTAATTGCGAAAATAAACAATAATGAATCTATTCTTAATTATTAAGGATTAAAATAATATTTTAGGATTAAAATGAACAAGATGTTGCAATTGGAACGGCACGAAAGGTTATTTATATACCTATATATAAAAGTACTGTATATTTATTATCACAGAGACTAGAATTGAAAAATTAACTTTTTAAAATTTATTTTTACCTTTGTTTGCGCTAAGAATTTTATTTTTATATATAATATAACAAAACTATTCACGTCGGGCTGAAGTAAAACTCGATGCTAATGCCGATTGAAGCATTGAATATTGTGCTTAAGTACTGTTTCCGGCTACATCAAACAGTGTTCCCAACTTCTTTTCATAAAAACCTTTATGTGTTCATTTTATGAGACAACCATACACATATTTACACAGATATAACTGAATCCAATATATGACCAAATGAGTACACAAGTTTTAATAAATTATTTTCGAATTTTTGCGCCTTAGATTATTGTGCCGATTTATATGTACCTCTAGACAGCGGTTGAAAGAACAGTTTTGTAGATACTGGTAAACAGTTTTCTCCTTTTTCACAATAATCTTAATTTCAATTGTGAATTTACTCGTTCGACTCGATTCATTCAAAAAATAAGTTTAAACTGAAATTCAATTCAATATAGAAATCCGATGGCTATAATTGAATGAGTAGTGAATTTTACAAAATCAAATTGAAATTAAGTTAGTAATTCACAATAATATATTAGCGTGTGCTATATTGTGAATAATTCTGAGGCGCTAAAGTAGAACACATCAAAATATTGGCTGCAACGGTCGGTATTTTTTACTTAAGAGCGCAATTACAGACATAAATAAAAAAAAAAAATTAATATAAAGTCAAGCTTTGTTGTAAGACCAGGTGCTTAGTAAAGAGCGCCGAAAGATCATAATTTTAATCAAAAGATTGTAGATACTTGCGCAGTATGAATGGACTCAAATAAATCAATATTTTGTAAAACAGTTTTTAGTAAAAACTGTACTTTGTACTCTTTTTTATTTTATGCAAATATTCAATTTTGAATATCAAATAATTTTTAAGTGAAAATACATTTTATAGCATTTTACATTTTATAGAATAATAAAAATATATATAATAAAACATATTGTTTTGTATAAATAATAAATAATTTTTTTTAATATAATAACAAATTTATGTATAAAAATAAGTTAATATAAATAAAAATATTTATATAAATAAATAATATATATATAAATAATTGATGTATAATAACCAATATCGATCAAAATTGAAAACACAATCAACGCTAGTAATTTCATTCTTTGTTGTCCTGCATAACTGGGGTGAAGGGGATGAGGCATTCTGCCTTGTCGTCACATTGGTCGAAATAGTATTACTTCATAATAAAGCGTATATTTTTTAAAATTAAGCACGAGAAAACCTACAAAATAAGTAGTTAAGATAGCAAAATGATAATTGTGTTATGACCTTTGTAAAACATACCTTTCGGTCATGATCAAAAAGCCTGTACAATTTCCCGATCATTCATCATATGACTGTTTGTATAATATGATCTTTATATAAAAAAATATAAATAAATAAAGAAATAAAGTAAGTAAGTATATAAAGAAATATGTATTTCCTAGCTTTTAGAGTATATTCCCCCATACATCATGTGAGGTGCTCTACTTAAATCGAGTTTTTCAGGCTTTAAATCCGATTTATTGATGATCTATAAACGATAGAATGTGTAATACTAATGATAGCAGGAATCCTGAAAAATGCATAAGTTGGTACAAACCCTGTGAGCTGAACTTACATTCATTTGTTAGTATATAATAAAAATGCTATCAAATGTTTATTTCTCAAACACATGCAAATATCTTTAAAAATATTATAAATTTTTTCCTCAAATTTTGTAGAATTCACCTCTTGAAATATTAAAAAAAGAAATCAAGCAATAAATTTGTTAATTAAATATTTTTTTATTATGAAACGTTGTAATTTCGATGAATATGTTATATGTAGTTTGGATTTTCGTGAGTAGCCAATTGAGAAACTGTCATTGTCGGGTTGGTATTTTGAAAAAGTTTATGGAGATATGGAAGATATGGAGATTTGTCAATTTTGCTTCAGCCGTATTCTTATTTACTCCCACAGTAGATTTAGCCATCTGAAGATTCTGAAATTAGCGTTAATGAAAATGCGTATTTTTGTTATTAATGTTTATATAATAACCTATTGGTCCTCTCTACGAATCCATCAAAGAAGTATCTTGGAAAACGCATTCGGAATTCAGGTGCACCATCTGAATCATCTTCTTTATTCTTAACAAAAATTATATTAATATATTATTTTCTTAAAAACCATTTGTTTTACTTACCCGGGAAAATATCGCATCGTAAATTAATGATATAGTAACATAAAATAATAAAAAAGTTACCAGACAGCCAAAAATAACTATATAAGTGTTGGCCTTATTGAGGGACTTTATAAATTTATTATATTCAGAAAATGGCTCAAAAATATTTCCTTCTGGGCTTTTCATCTTGTACCACAACCTTAATAATATGGTAGTGAGTAATAATGCTATTAAAGAAATTATTATTTCTTTAATCATTTTTTGAAATATGATTTTTGTTTTTTACGGACGGAATTGGTAACTGATCTGAAGAAATTGAAAGAATTTAAGATCTTTCAATCATTTTTATTTATGATGTAAATTTAATTTCTATGCTTACTAAGATACTAAGATTATAAAATCTGGTCTCATTTGTGTACTCTCAGTCGTTGATTGTATTTCTGATCATCAAGCCTTACTATGACTTCTTCTCGGTTACAGAGCTTAACTTTTTACTTCTCGCATCTACCTACATTTTTTCGCCACTACCTCGAAAAGTTTTAACAACACTCTCGATCACCTCCTTACTTACTTGGAGATCCATGTAAATAGAAACTTATCGCGCCCTGAGGTTGACCATATTTCATTACATTTTTAAGCTGTTTTCATTTCCACCTCACCTAAGCATATTCCTAAGGCAGTTCTTAATAAGAACAATTAGGCTCCGCTGAATCGACTCATATTCGATCTCGTCAGATACGAAAAAACTGTTAGTTGCAATCATAACTTTTTCAATATATTCTTCAGAATATTTACTTAACCTTATCTCAAAGAATTTTCGTAGCCAGGTCCGAGCATATTGATGTCAATCTTCGATCTTCATAGTGTTAAGCGTAATCCATAAAAAAAATAAAAAAATTCATTTCGGATATCTGGCTGAAGAATATAATCACACTGTCAACTCTGTCAAAGAAACTTTTGAACGAAATCACTGCATAACATCAAATGGTGGTAATACTGCCTTCAATTCAGTGACTAATCACTTTGTCTATGGCTTGTTTGATGACCACAGTGAGTATATAACCAACTTTGGCCATTTCTATAGACTCACTTAAACCTAATTATTTTTTTTTTATTTTGGTCTCTTCAATATCCTTAGAGGCAAAATACTTAAACAGTCCACCGGTAATGATAGCATTTCCAACTATCCCACTAAGAATGATCTTTTTAACCAATCCTTTAACATTGGAAATTTTTCCACGATTAGTAAGCTGAATGATTCTCATTGCCAGCAAGCTGTAGTGCATTATTGTTGAAGTATGAATACTTTTTAGCTTTCAATTCGGGACTCGAAATAATATTTTAACGACTGATGCCATTCATCTTTTCAAAAGTGATGTCTGCGAAGTTTCTTCCAGTACCCAGACTACAGTGGCGATAAACTGGAATGTTGAGAAATCTTTCGCTACGGTGTGAATTGAGGGCTTGAATCTTAAGCTAAGTCAACTTCTCTACTTCTCTCTTCTCTACTTCTCTACTGCCGTTTGTAGTGATTAGAGAGCAGACGGTAGTGATTAGAGACGGTGTATGATGTGTAATAGCAAACGACGTCGCACTAAGCGAAGAAACCAGACATTATGTGTAATGCCGGTATGTAAATATTATTATATTTAGGTATTTATATGTAGCATCGCTTCCGTTCACACTTAACTGATCAACTTTCGACTCATCAGAGCTATTATGTATAAACAGGAGAAGCCAACATTTTTGTTAGACATTTGCAATATTTATAATTACTTTGTTGTTATTTTCGAGATTGCTGCTACTCTCACTAATTTCCTTAGCGGTAAGGTTTGCCGCTATTTTGTTCATTGAAGATGTAGCAAATAATTAAAACCATAGACTAAAACGTGCTGGCGTCGCTGAAGCTGCTACCTAACATCTCCACATTTTAGCGGATTGTGAAGTGCGTGTACTAAACTTTCTTACAGTACAATTTTACAACACAATTTTATATCTTTGTATCTTTGTATCTATGTATCTTTGTTATTTCAATGTATCTTCTGAGCGTCTTACAGTGCTCAGATGTGCCACTTTGTATATTTTGTTGTTTACATCATTCCTAGTCGCCTTAACTGAAACGTCGAAATTTGCATTTGCGTTAAATGTATTGTAGTCTATATGATGTTAGTAACCAAATAATGAGCAAACAAGCTCACGGAATGTATCTAGAGAAGCATATATGCATGTATGCAAAAGGAGCGCTGTCACAGATGTAGGCGCGCTTCCTGGCTGCGTATTGGAGCGCGAATGTTTGCGCTTTTATTGACATAAGTTGAAGGTACATAATCCTTAATGTCTTCCTTGTTTGTTGTTCACTTTGTGCTAATTTGTATGAAAGTGATTTTAACTGTAGTTTTAATGGTTATTTGGCTGCTTCACTGTTTACTTGTTTACTTACAATTTTCTTACATACGGTTTTAATTAAGTTTAGATTTTATTTGTATCTAGATAGAATAAATACTTGAAGCACTTTTTAGCAGTTACATGAAAATTATTTATTAGCAAATTCCACCAAAAACTTTTCATAAAGTTTCCCAACTATTTTAATAACAAATAAGCCTTCCCGTCTGGTATTAACATCTAAATTTTCAGTTTAATAGCTTAAAGAAAATTAGGTGTTGTACTTTAGATAATTTTTCCAGTTTCTTGTTGCTTCTTGTTTACTCTGTTCTTAATTTAGAAAAAATTATATTAACATTTGAATTGATTAGATTATTCCATGCAATATCTAACGATTTGGTAACTTAGGTATATTTATGTTGAAGGTTAAAAATATCTGATATATTCAAATGGAATCAAGTAATTCTGAAATGGTTTTAAAACCTTCTGCTCAAAAAGTACTCGGAGTAGATCTTGACAAAAGACAACTGGAGCAAGCACATGTATTACACTAAAATGAAGGGCAAGGTTAATCACCTGAAGTAGTATCGGAACCTGGACGTAGGTCATATCGATAGAAGTCTTAAATGACCAGTAGAACCCTACCTCGAAGTAATACTAAAGCAGTCCCAAGGCAGGACAAGATCTCTAGGAATAAAGAGGAAGGGTTTTAGTCAGTTAGTTCGAGTCAGAGACTCCCTTTTCCGGGGCACCAGATTGTGGCCAATTTATAGGCATTACACTTGCAGTACAAAAAAGAAAAAGAATAAAATTATTCGATTATTATTGTTTCAGTTATCAGCCTAACAAAGCAGGCATTTCAACACGTATTTCGTATCACAAGGCCGTTTCTTCTATGCCCTTCATTTCTTTGGCATGATGCCAAAGATATCAAGTTTAATGTAAGTGTCATTGTGTAACTGCTGAAGCAAATTATAGATGACATTAATGAAATATATAAAAGTAAGAAATAAGCACGATAAGCATATAACCATTGTTTACACTATGTGACAATTAATTCTCTCTTTTGATTTTTCTATGTCTTGAAGTTAACTTGAAGCTTTTGAGTTCAAATCTGCAAGCAGTTCTTCTTTTAGTAATTCTAAAAGAACTACAATGTTCGTAAATTAAAGAGATCTCAAAAGATAAGTGAAATAAACCAAAACCAAATTCTCAATTGAAACAGAAATATTTTTAAATAATTTTGTTTTAATTTTCTTGATTATTTATTACAAATATATAACGTTCGTTTATTCATATTTAATTTATCCCATTTTCACTCAAGGATTATGCCGAACGCGAAAGTTATTCTTCCTGGTCCTGCAATATTTGAAATTTATTAATATATTTACATATAATATCTATTTCAACAGACCTCAAGATCATTGTCAGGCACTATGACATGTAAAACTAATGCGACGATAATGAAAATGATGAAGAAATAGTAGAAGGGTAAGAAAAAAATATCCATCACTGAGATAATTTACCAAAGGTATGTATCTGTATTCAGCCAATTGTGCAGTCTGTACTCTTAAATTTATATTTATACTAGACAAATTTTGTTAATTTAGAAATGTTAATTTTACATCTGTAATGATATTTTTTTTAACAGATTTAAAATTGCCATAGAAATTTTTGAAATCAAATAAATAAGGTTTACTATGTCAAATATGAATATTAAGCAATTACCCGTATTTATTAAAATCAATAATTTTATTTAATTAATTAAAAATACTTACAAATTACAATAACGTGTTAAATTCTTATTTAACAAAAATATAAAAATAGTACCACAAATATATGTCAAATATTTGGGTGTCATTGGGTGTTGACTGTAAACTCAGCTGAAAAAAAAACTTGACTGAAACTGTTTGTAAAGCAACATTTAGTGTAGTAGTTGGTCCTAAATGGGTTCATGCTTTAGCTCCATATAGCTAAGGATGTGTGCACTGTCATTATGCCCCTCGACAACTTTCATTTTGATCAATTGCAGTCTCTATTTTTCAATTTCTAGTATTTATTCGTAATACATAGTAAGATGTATATACACTTTAAGTCAGTCTAACAATCCTATCAACCACAGACCAACATGTTATGATCAAATAGTATTATTTATTTACCATTTACCTTTTTAAAATAATTTTTATTTTACATTACATGCTTGCACTCATTTTTTATGATAATGACTTTTGGCTGGTTCGCGTTTCACACCCGAACATCAACGTCTCAATATCAGTTATTGAACAACATTTTTTATAATTTTATAATTAATGCATCCATTGTGTGTAAAAAGCATTGTTTTGTAGAACATATAGTACGAGTGTCACCAATTATATTTTGAGCCTAATAATGAAAAAATACAAACTTGTCGTTTTTATTTCTAGAAGTATTCTTCTTCATGATTAATACATCTTTGCATGTGGTCGAACCAAAAACACATGTTTTGTCAAAAAGCATTTTTCACAACCTTCAAAACATGGTTCTTAAATATAACAATGGCTTCTTCCGTCGACAAACCATCAAGAATCGTTGTCAACGTAATTTATTCTTAACGTTCGGAAGCAAGAAGAAGTCATTGGAGGTCAAATCACTACTGTACGACGGAGATCTAAGATAAGCTCTTTCACTATTTAAATTATATATGCTTATTTATTTCATTCATAAAAAAATAATCCCAAATTCTTATTTGTATTCCAAAAACTTTTTACTTAATTTTTAATTAATTTTTAATTTTTAATAAATTTATAAATTAATTAAAAGAAGATATTAACAGTTTATGAAATCAATCATTGTAATGTAAATGTATCTATTATTTAACTTTTCCGCGTAAAAGCACTTAAACATACTTACAATTAATTATAGCAAGTTAATTGCACCTATGAAATTGCATTCTCAATTATTTATTAATTAACGCCGCGCCGTTGAACTCGGGCGGCAGATACAAGCTGAAGATACTGCACGATGAGGTGGTACGTGAAATTGCTTTACTTTGGTACTATTTAAGTGAATTATACGTACAATTATAGAACAAAGTAAGTGCAGAAAGTATTTAAAAACTTTACAGCCAAACGAAATTAATAAGAATTTATGAAAGGAAACGTGTGCACTGCAAACAATAACAACAACAACAGCAACTTCATTAAAATCTCTAATAGGACATAAGGACATAAACACGCTCATGAGTGCATATTTGCATTAACGTAGACCAAGAACGTTTATACATTTTAAGTAGAATATTATTAAGGTATTAATACAGTCCGTACATGCAAGAAAGGATATAGAGAATCGCTATAATAAATCGTATATATACTTTTACATATAATACCGGTTATAATGAAATATCCTTCAAAGTTTTATTTATTATTTAAAACTCAGTCTCTCCAATTGTTACTTTATCCCATTCTTTAATGATTAGGATTAGCTAATGCTACTCCATATTTCACCGATTAAGTTTTCATTATACTACAGGTATATCGTATTGCATTTTGATTTTAATTGACCATAAAGAACTGAATACGAAAAGACTGGTTACTGTGACAGTGTGGCGATTCCAAAATAATGTTTGGAAGTATTTCTGCTAAATCCAGTTCAATTTCTGCAACTGGGTATAAAACATATATCCATTAATACACAACAAAGCTGAAGGAACAGTCATATTAAATAACTTCAAAGCCCGAACTTTTGAACTTTTGTTCAAGTGCTTCATGTTAGACGTAGAGCTACCAAGTTTGTTAGTAGCTTTCATATTGGTCAACATCTGAAATGGAAGCAACGAAAAACTAAAGTGTCATGTGTGGGTTCCGTGAAACCTGTTTCCGATGAACACTCTATTTCCAATACAACATATGTTTCATGCGAAACAAGTCTATTTAATACATTACCGCGAATTCCCATTTCTTATATAAAGATTTGAATTCTTCTAATAATAATTCATATCCTAAAAAAATCTTTTTTATTTCATTATTTTCTACAAAATATATGAAGGTACAATTGTACCTAAGACGTCTTTACTGACAGTGAAATCAATTCAGCTTTATATCTTAGAAAGTTCTCGAGATATTTTACTAAAATTTTAAAAATATCATCTAAATCAAAAGTGTAGAGAACTTCTAAAATTTATATAGGCAAAAAAAATTATTGCAACTGACGGGTGCAAAAGTTACGATTAAGCCTATCCCGTCCGACTAGAGTTAATCCCGTTTATCATCTCAAATCCTTTTATAAACCACTTCTCACAGAGCCTTACGATATAAACTAACGAATGCTTTCTCAACATCGATAAAAGAGATAAGAAAGTTAAGAATACATAAAGTTCCGAAATTATTCGAATATGATTGGTTAGGTCTAAGTCTAACCTGCCTAGACATATTTATTAAATCCCGTTTCAGAAGAGATTGAAGAACTTAAATTCAGAGAATTTAAAGAGTTCATTAAAGTGAAGAATTTATTTTTGTGTAAATAAAATTTATTTAACATAAAAATTAAATAATGAAAGTTGAACTTTGTGCTTAAGAACCATTAGCTCCTTGTTAGTTTCAATCCTCAAATAGCTCCGTTACAAACCACAAACACACACTTGACATGCACATTTCTCATTTGCAATGATTGAACGTCGCATATAATGAAAACGCATACAAAGATGTCGATGTTGGCGAGGGTCCTTTGTAACACCCCATATTGGTTCCACTCTTATATGGGAGAGATGTGTGTGAGCGGGTTGCTCGCTGCGTCGTACTTATGCAAATTTCGTAATGCGTGTTTTCTGTTGCATGAACGTGTTTAGCTGAACTTGCACAATTGCGCGTCATGTTTAACAACATCTCAAATTAATGGCACGGTAACGTTATAAAAATGTGTAGCGATAAAAGTGGAAAAATGCTTTTATCGAAATTACCGTACGTTTAAGTTTTACTGTGAAGAAATTTGATTACCGCAGCCCGGTACGTGTACATGCGGCATTAAAAATTAGTTTGCTTAAGTACTTAAACTGAGATATTTTGATTAACACACTTCCTTCCGCTTACTCCCGACTCAGTCGTTATTCCAAAGTACCTCTAAAAACACGAATTTTAAGAACTTGACTATAATGTGGCCAAAAACGCGTAATTTAGTGTCTGTTTTTTAAGATGTGAAATAGTATCTAGTCCAAAAAAAATAATAAACTGAAAGGAATAAAGAAGTTTATTATGATTTAAAATAACATTTGGTAGTTAAAAGAGCAAGTATATTAAAAATGCTATAAGTTTTGTTTTACACTTTAAGAAATATGTGCATCTTTTTTATATATACTAACGATTTGTGGAGTATTTAAAAATCGCTTTCTGATACATTATATCAGGGCTTTCCAGACCAGATGTGATCGCGGGCCAATACAAATCACTATTTAAATTCATTTATTTAGCATATCATAAAAATAAAATAACGTGATTTTACCAAAGTACACCAAAGAAAATTTGCGTAATCTAATAACCTACCAGAGGTTAGAAACATGTTGCGGGCCTCACAAACATTAACCCCGGACCGCGGACTTTTTTGTGAATTGTTTTCTTTTTCCAAAGACGTCTCTTAAATTCTTTTCTGTTTTTATATGATGTATCAATATCTTAACACCGTTAAAATTCAGACCATAAGTTGTGCCTGCAAACCTTAGTGTCATACAATAGACCACAAAAAAAGACCACTGCTCGACAATAATTTCAATACAGAAAAAAGGTGAAATCGATTTTATGGATTATTATTGTCTTTTGGATTATGGATTGTCTATTATTGTCTTTTGGATGGATTATTGTCTTTCTCGACGAAATGTACTAAACAGAATTAACGTCTTACCTAACGTTACTGATATATAAGCCATATGCTAATATATGGCTATATATGTAAGCCATATATTATAGTTTTGTAGCAAAGCTATAATGTCCTCCAATATTATCAATATTACTCCTATAAGCAAATTTTGAGAAACTAAAATAACTTTTAATTAATGTAAAATAATGATTTTTATTGAATACACATATTTTATAGAATACACATATTTTACGGTGAGTATTCGCTAACGAATCCAGTATTCACATTAAAAATCACCTTGATACGTGCCAGAGCTCGACGACGGGCGCCCAAATGCCAAAGTAATTTCGTAACAGCATTATTAACACTCTTGTTCTTATATATTGAAATTGTGTTTCTGAAACCAGTACGTTTAGGATAGGTGACCCAAAACGCGAACCTTATCTTTTCACGCGATGATACATAAATGCGCTCACACGAAAAAATGTGTGCGGCTTGACGATTTATACCTGCCATTTTTTCCACATAGAACCAAAAAGCAGTCTTTGCCTCACGTTTGTTTGCGGCGAAGACGTGTATGTAGAATAAAAAGGCCTCCCTCCTGTGTCTAGTTAGCCATTTGCGACCAGTAACCTTATATTCCTTTAGCTGCAAACAAGAATACATATATGTTAATTTCAAGTATATATCGCAGTCGTTATTATCAAATGAAATCTGTTCAAACATTTTTTTATAATATTACCTCTTTGCTCATGTCCATCTTGCAAGCTTATTGAACACAAAATGTCGAGCAATATTTTCTGCATTTACCACTGAAGTATAATTTTAAATTTCTCGGAAAGTCATAAAAAGGAAATAAAAATGTTTTAAACCCTTTGTTGCATTTTAAAAACAGTTTTAAGAAATTTTTTTAAATTTTTTTAAATAGTAATCAATAGTAATCAACAAAAAATTTGTTTCTAAAAATGAGTATATATTAGCACAATTAGTAAATAATAGTAAATATTAGTAAATATTATATTACTCACTTAAATTACCAGCATGTACTCAAACCACTGTTGGAGGAACATTAATCTACTTTTACATAAGTATTGGGTCTAGTGTTAATTAACATATATATTTTTCATTAAATTCAACAAAATTCATATTATTTTATAAATTTTAATAAGCAAATAATAATCTTCCTATAAACATATAAATTCATCATCATCCTAACAGATACAGTAATTTAGCCCTGAGTAATCAGATGATAAGTTTCAACTTATAGGAAGTAATACATTCCTTAGTTGGTGCAAAAGTACAAATAGAGAAAAATTAGACATTATTGAATGTTGATTTTCATCTTAAAAGTGGGAGATAAATTTTGTGAGCTATTAGGAAAACGGAGCGACTTTCAGATTTCCTATATGTGGAAGATAGTCAATGGTCAGATTTAACGCGAATGTTAGTGTTTTTATGTATTTTTGTGTTCTGTGTTATGATATAGGTGACTACTAAGGTATTTTGACTTACACATTTTTTTTCATGCGCACCATATTACCATTAAATCAATGTTAATTTTTTATTTCTGAATTGAGTTTATCAATAAGTTCTACATTCTAAATTCTACCACTAGATACTTAAAGTGTAGTGTATAAACCTTCATAAGGCGTTGCCTTACAGTAATATTGCAGGTATATATAGATTAACTAACTTACATTAAGTATAGCTAAATGTATTATAGATCAAATCAGAAATCAATTGAAGTGACAACTTTCTGACGCAAGTAAACCTGAACTTGTTATATTATAGACGGAAATCCGTATAGCAGTAGACAAGTGGAAAGACCAACACACACACAGTGTGTTGGTGTTGGCTTGGGATTAAAAAAATCATACTACTGAAGATATAACAAAAGATTGTAAAAAAGAGCAAAATCAAGAAAAATGTAATTTACCCAATACTCGTATGTCTTATATAGATATTGATAGATATGTTATAAATTTCATAAGACAAAGCATTTCACCCTAAAACACAGAATTTCTAGGTAAAGGAAATCACATCAATATAATACAAATTCTTTATTAATCAACCCTTTTAGCAAAAATTTATATTGTTCAACTGAAATAACGCGCATTCGATTGTTAAAAATCGGTTTGACCCTATTATTTTTTTGAAGCATATAGATTTTTTTAACTTGTTTATATGTGTAAAAGCGAGAGTTTTCTAGCTTAGAGTTATATTGGTGGTATTCCAACATCAATATAATTAAATTTATTACTGGTATGTGCAATATCGCTTCTCCCATTAACTTAACAAAGTCCCCAGAGTGTTCTGGGAATATAAAATTCAGAAACTTGGATACGGATATAAAAATGTCTATAGTTTTGTATCTAATAAGCAGATAAGCTTTGAAATTATTTAAATGGTTAAATAAGAATTTAGATCACACAATAATATTATTTGAATAATTCAGAACCCTTTATACACAATTTTTAGTATAACTCTCAGTTTCTTTTCTTCACCTCATTACACAAAATTTTGAATATTATTTGAATAATCCACTTAATTTTATACGCAATTTTTCAAATAACTCTCAGTTTCTTGTCTTTGTCTTCTTTGTTAAGGCTTTTTGTTCTTCCACTATGTAATATTTTAACCTCACTACACAAAATTTTGAATATTATTTGAATAATCTGAAAAATTTTATACATCAATTTTAGTACAGCTCTCAGTTTCTTTTCTTTATCTTCTTTGATGAGGATTTTTGTTTTTCTGCTGTGTAATATTTTCACCTCATTACACAAAATTTTGAATATTATTTGAATAATCTAGAATATGTTATACACAACTTTTCGAATATCTTGCAGTTTCTTTTCTTTATATTCTTTGGCCGCAATGTGCATTATATCTTTCAATATATTTAGTATATCGAATAGTATATTTCTTTTGTTTGATAAAGTGTGGTTGACGCTAGGAAAGATATATTTTTCATTAAAGTGCTTCCATCTTATTTTAAAATAGTTTTTGTGAGTTATATTTGGCATTTTGACAATTATTTTTTCATGTTAAACACCGGTCTTTAATTACTTAGTTCTTATAGGCACCACTTTTCTGATATAAATTCAATTGTTTAAGGAATAAGTAGGCATTATAAATTTTTTCTTTGACGTGATTAATAAATATAACAAAATTTCAAAAATGATATTGTAAAACTAGTAAAATATCAAGTGTGGTTTGTTCTACAACAACAATTACTTCATTCAATAAAACTAACCTGGAGTGTTGTCATACTATACCAGTAACTACAGAAATATATAAAGTTTTTCATATATATGTAAGTATATAATATTTTACTATATTCCTTATATTGCTTCGTAGATAACGCGTTATCACCTTATACATAATGCTAGATGGGCGTAACTGGGGAAGAAGAGGTAATTAGGCAAATGACAAGTTTTTATAAAAGTAAAAATATATCTTGGTTACATACTTAAGGAAGGTCTTTACCCTTCTCCCCTATTGGTTAACCCATAACTACTATATATGCAATTGTTCAAAATTTTTATTTGTCTTTATTTCGAAGACGTCTTGGCAGCGTGGAATTAAAAAAATTTCATAGTTGCATTCTAATAAAAAAAGTACATATTATTGATCTATTTTTTTAATTATTTTAAGCTGTGAACTCTTAGTTGCACGCATATAACAAATCATATAGTTTCTTGTAACCGTCAGTAATAAACGTATTATAGAAAGATCCTACAAGTGAGTATATTATAAACATATTTTCATAACATCACACATTTTTTATAATGTCCTCTATATAATATATTACAGTATAAACAAAAAATTATCTCTATTAAACCCAATTAAAAACTAAAAATAATTGCTATATATCTAAATAGTGCTAAAATGTGCTAAAATTGAGAAAATTTAACAGTAAAAATTAATTTTTCATAACGTAAGTCTTTCTGTTTTAAAATACTTATTAATACTCCATATATAATTTTGAGCATTAAGTAACCAGAATTAAAATTAAAAACCCAAACTTGCATTTTTAATTATTAAGCCAAAGTTGCACTTAATTTGCATTGCATAAGCTTGAAGACTCATTAATTATTATTTTTGTCTTAATAACAATTTATATAATATATATTAGTATAATAATATAGTTCTGTATTTTGTAGGAAACCAATGTCTTCAGAAAACTGATTGGTGAACAATATCTTTGAAAAAACTTGTATCTACATATTTGGGAGTGATTAAGACTCAATACATTTGTACCAATTTATTGGTGATTAAAGAACAACAACCTCGTAAGAACAGTTTAATCGGATAAACTAATTGGTAACATAACGTCAACAACTTGATTAGAACTGATTGATTGCTACAGTCTAAACACCTTAGAATGAACTAATTGATCGTTTAAGCTCAACATATTTGTAAGAATTAATTAATTAATAATTTTGGTAGAAATTAACAATTTCTCAACAATTTTGGCAGAACTGTTTGAACGACTGAACTCAAATCCTTAGAAGAACTGCTTGCTTAACACAATTTTAAATCTCTGGAACATCTGATACTTAAATTCAAAATCTTCGAAGGAACTGATTGGTTATTGAAGCTTAATTCCAATTTTGTGAAATCTGATTGATCGCTTAGGCTCTACAACTTCGAAAGTAGTGATTGGTAAGCTAATATCAGTATCTTTGGAAAAGCTACATCACTTAAATTAAAAAATATTGGAAAAGTATTATACTCAATATATTTGAAAAGGTTGATTGATTATTTAAGTTTAAAAACCACGAAAAGACTGATCTGAACATTTTTAGAAGAACTGATTATTAAGCTTCATATTTTAAGAACAGATTAGTTAATTAATCTCAACAATTTTGTACAAACTCATTGACTATTAAGCCCCTACAGCCTTGTAAACTTAATATCATTGATAAAACTAATTGGTTACTAAAGCTCAAAAACGTAAGTTCAATATCATCGATAAAAGTAATTAATCGTTTTAACTCAACATTTTCGTAGGAACTGATTGGTTATATAAACTGCACATCTGCGAAAGAACTGTTTCTGAAGCTTGATATCTTCTTAAGAACTCTTTAATTATTGAAGCTCGAAAGAAAATTCCTTGGTTATTAAAGCCCGACAGTCTTGCATGCTTGACATTATCAAGAGAACTAATTGGTTACTGAAGCACAACAATAAAATCGTCGGAGGAACAGATTAAGTTCAACAACTTCAGAAGTTTGATTGACCACTTGAATTCAGCTCTAACAACGGAATTGATTTTTCACCTCAGCTCAACAATTTCGAAAAGACTAATTGGTTGCCAAGTCCAACATTTTTAAAAGAGCTGATTGGTTAATTAAGCTTAACAAGTATAGAAGTAGTACTTGTTTGTTAAAACTTAACATTTTCGGAAGTTGTGATTAGTCATCCGTTCTTAAAATCATAGGAAAAGCATTAACATGGTTAGAGTTTGTCGATTCTGTTTCTCATCTGCACAAACTGAAAGCGACCAATTAATTCATCCATGTAAATGCTGTGGAAGTTTGAAGTATGTTCATAGGATGTGTCTACTCAAATGGTTACTGGAATTGCAAAAGAATGCCAATATAATGGAAAACTATTCTAGTGACATTCGGCTGTGTGAAATTTGTCGTTCTAGAATTTTCATTCGAAAGCCAAAAAAGACTTATGCACTTCGCTTTTTAGATTGGTTGTATGGAGCAATTTGTTTGACAAGTTATGTATACCTGCTATTGTTGGTGTTTATAAAGCTTTTCATGTATGCAATAATTAATCTGCAGGATATTAAAATGTGGAAAAGCCTACAAAATAGCTGGCTTTCTATTTTACTGGATATGGTTTTCAAATTCTTAGAAATGCTAGACTATCAACAAATACTGATATACTATGTGGCGCGTTCTCCGTTTTTAATGAATAATTTTAAAGATATGAAAAGTTACTTGAAAGTAACACATTCATATGATGAACTACTATACCCAACGTTTTTCAGTGTTTTGAAGACTGTGTTCCAGCCTTCGCTAAGCCTTCTTATTGTAAGATGTATATTTTTCCCATCAATATCATACATTATACAAGAATTTCTGCTTTCGAATAATTTGAAAACAAGCAAATTGATTGCAGCATTAGTAGTATTTATTTTCATAAAAACTATGGTTCCATTCACAATTGAATACTTATTTCATAAACACCACGTGAAGTATGCATTTTATTCATTCAACGCCGAAAGAGACTACTATATACTGAGAGAAGCCGATTATGTTGAAGTTATCCATCATGATCAGTTTTACCGCGTGCAAGTAAGAACTTAGTCATATTTTAATCATACAGAAATAAGTTTATAATTTAATTATGTAAATTTTTATTAGCTATTATTATTAACTATTATTACTTCAATATCTTTTACCAAGACTAATTTTGCTTTATTTGATCAATTACTTTTCATGAATTATTATATTTGATATTATTAACTTAAATTGTAATAATTTATATTTTCAATAAATTTTTTTTTATTTATGTTTATATGTTAAATGCTTAATTTTATTAAAATCAAGAAAACAACATCCAAATATTATAATTAATGGTAACAACAAAAAATCTTAGTTCGACAATAATCATATAAAGAAGATGTCAATTATTTGTTTCAGTGTAATATTCGAACCTATCTCCTTTAATCTTCCATCAGGAAATAGTTGGTTGGTTGATTACAGTTGCAGACTATAAGATAACTTCCACGTACCTCAATTATAGTACAGCATAGTATAGCATACTTCTCAAATTTAGATAATTTAATAGGTCTCTCATCCTTTCCGATAAACAGTCTGACAAACCGTCAACAAGTATACTCCAAAGAGCCTACTTCCTCTGAACGTCAAATCCGGACATTCACAGAGAAAATATATTATGGTTTCTTTTTCCTATATTTCGTATTATGGTATCCACAACTTCTACAATGAGGATTATGAGGAATGCGCAGTTTCTCTACATGGGTCCCTATACACCAATGACCAGAAGGAATTGCAGTAATCTTTACAGTGTTTACACGGTCTCTTTTGATAAGTTACGGATATCTAATTTTATTATAGGTGGGTCACGTTAACATTGAATTTGCACCTAACTTCCCATAACTGCTAGGTACTTTTCTTAATGGTTTCTGAGGTAATATAAACTTGTCGTCCATTACGAATATTAAAATAAAACGTTTTTATAAGCTATCAATTGATCATATGCATTCATTTGAATTTTTAAATTTATATAAAAGTAGGACCTTAAAATTTATTTTTATTCGGTAGTACACGATATTACCATATACTTAGCTATATAAAACTGTAAGTAGACAGTTTTGTTTTCATTCATAGTTCGTGATTCAGACTCTCGCATAAGACTTAGAGATCTTGAGAATCTTGTTTATACAACGACTTAAATATAAAAGTATTTTAATATTCCTATTACCTTATATATATATATATTGCTATAAAATTAATTAATTATTTAAAATTTTTTTTTAACTATAATTTTAATAAGAAAAAAACTTGCTACCTAAAACTGTACTATCCGCTGGTTGACGTTGCTACCGAAAAAAGGAGAAAGATTTGGAATTCGAGACATCACCCGATAAATAATGTCAACAATTACAAGGTACTTCTAAAAATAAATGTTTTCGTTGGTTGAAATTTCTACTGAAATCAGAAAAATGAATGAAAGTCACTTTGGTCACTTGCTAAAAAGAAACTTGAAAATTTTATAAGACAAGCGCTGCGGTAGAGTTCGTTCTGGCAGGCAGGTAGAGCATTATTTTGTACTATTCAACAGAGACCAAAATAAACTCGCTTGATTTGTTGTCAATCTATGCTCCAAAACAAAAGTTATAGATATAAATGTATATACATATTTATATATATATATATATTATAATACTTTCATCATACTTTCATCATATTATTTCTATAAGATATGATTAGAAGAGAAATAGAAATATATATTTATTATATATATATGTATATATACATATACATATATAGAATATATATTTCTATATATATATATACATATATATATGTATCTATATACAGGTTGCCATGATAGTTGTACTGTTGCCACATATATATATTACATTACTTTCATCGCTTTCATTCCATAACTGATGTTGGTTTGCTCTTTTTCTTTGCTTATATACTTATGTATGATGCAGAAACTTTGCAAAGACAAACAAATAATGAAATTGAAGAGCTGCTTAGAAACGGAAATATAGTGAGATACATTAAGTCGCAAAGGTTACAATGGGCTGCTCATGTAATAAGAATGTGGTCAGAGAGAAAGCCGAACAGCATATTCAACACAAAGCCGATGACAACCAGGCACAGAGGTAGGCCAAGAACACGGTGGGAAGAGAACGTGTATCTTGAGAGTAGCAGAAAATAGGGACAGATGGAGGCAGATCGTGAGGGAGGCCAAGGTTCATACTGGACTGTAGTGCTAAATAAGAAGAAGTAAAAGTATGATATATATTTAGTTTACTGTGAAATTATCAGTGTAGGCATTTCCTTAAATGAAATTTTATACCGTAATTTTGAATTTAATTTATCAATTGAAAGCAAAGCAGTACTTCAATTACAAAATTACTTTAGAATTAAACTTGTTCATTATCTCATTTGTAACTGCAATACAAGTTTGATTTTGATTATTAAGCTAATTGCTTCAAAAATAATAATTGTGCTTTAAAGTACAATTTCCGAATTTCTATCTACAATAAATAATCTGAAATTTTCAAATTTTCCCAGAATCAAAATTCAAAACTCATTGACGTCGAAAGCGGAAGCAACGCAATGAATACAAAACTGAAATCTGCATTCATTCGTTTCTGCTTAGTTTTATATATCCTAAATATACGAGTATCAGCTTATGTATCTGTGCGCACATAACATAAATATATCTACGAGTGAAATAAATGCATGCAAATTTTATTTTATTAAATGTAAATAAGAGATATTTTCACACCAATTTACATCATGAGAATTTTGGAATTCATTTTGAAATTGCTTCAAAATATCTGAGACTTGGTAAATCCTTAGTAAATTTTTGCATTACTGCAAATGAAATGCGTCGCAGATACAAAGGGATATACACATGTTTTTCCAGATACAAAGGGAAAGCGTTCTCAACTAATACGAAGATGCAGTCATGATGAGAGAATATTAAATAAAATAAAATAATATACAAAAAAAGTTAGAAAATTTGCAACAAAATAAAAATGAAAATATTTCATACGAACATCTATCGTTGTGGAAAATTTTACTCAGTTTATGGCTATCGAAACCATTTGGCCAAATTGAATTCACATTTGCTACCGAAGATACACAAGTGCCTTGTTTTCCTATACAATTTTATTATTATTATTTTTTTTTTTTGTGTTCTGTTTTATTTGTTATTATTGTGGTTGTTGTTGGTTGGGCAGTGGGATGAGCTAGTACGGGGATATAATGGGGGATCTCATGTCAATAACATTTGTATTTGTAAAATTTGGTCAAAACATTCGATACGTTTTAAGAAAATTTGCTATTATTTTTTTATTTGGTTTTTATAACTTTAAGGTATGTTGTACATTGATTATGGCTTGGTAAATATAGTTTGTGTGTTCATAAAAGAAAATGTATCTCAGCAATAAAAATGGTGAAATGAACTTTGATAAGTGTTGGCAATTGGGGTTAACTTTATTCTTATTTTGTTAGTTCACTTGACCACATTTGACATAAACCTGTGAATATTTTTATTATTCTGAGCATTATTTGTTGTTTTTTACGATGCATCAAATGGGTAGTTTTATGGTTTTGGGTAGTTGAAGAGTTTTTGACTCGAACAATTTTAAAATTTATTTTTGCACAAATATAGAAATGTTCTGCATCAAGTGATTTATGTTAATAAAAATTTATATACATAACAAACTGAAATAACTAATTTATACTGCTTTGTGATTATACGAGTATTGACAATCTAAAGTGAAGAAATGTTTACTTAAGTTCCTTTGAGCGGACTGTAGTTTGTAGTGCAATGTAATTGAAGACTTAATAAATGCTACGAAGGTAAAATACTTATAGTAAAGCAATATTCTGAAAAATAATCGATATATATTCATTAATTGTTGAAATTTATTGACTTAAAATGTATGCACTATTATGCAGTCAAATATATTTCAAAATAAATTTAATCATGCAGTTACATCTACAACTTGCAGACGAACGCATTCAAAGATGTGTACTTAACTAAGTTGATCAAAATTAAAAAAAAAAGATTTTGATAGGACTTCATGTTTTTCTAAATCATCGTGCGGTTCTATTGGTTCTAGCTGACAAAAAGTACATTCAGCTTACATTAATACAAAAATCAAAAGGTAGGAAATGAGGACAAAAATGGAATTTCATGTAAGAGGAATAGTGTGATGAAGAGAAATGGTTAAAGAGGTTAGACCATTTTTTATATCAACGTGATAAACAACAACAAGAGTACGATAAAACAATTGACATACATGAAATAAAACACCATGAGTAACACTTTAATATTATTTATGAGAGTAAGAGGCAAACATATAAAGTGTGGTTTTATGCAAAGTTTTTTCGGATCGTCAATTGTTTTAATTTTTTGAATTACATTAAAATCTCTCTCTAAAAGAGATTCCCTCTAAACAAGACTATCCCAAGAAGACTCATTTCTAAAGAGATTCTCTCTTGAGAACAGCTTTTCTAAAGAGGTCCTCACCAGAAAATATCATTTTCTAAAGAGCCTCTCTTCAGGAAAAACACTTTTTTAAAAAGACTCACACCTCTACACTTTGTTTTAAATGGACTCTTTCTAGAGGACAATTCTTCTACGAAGATTTTTTCTTACGGAAACTTTACCTTTTCTGAGTAGTGTCTCTCCTAAAGAAACCCTCTTGTAATCAAATTTTCTTTTGCAAAAACTCTCTCCCGATGAGACTCTATCTTGAGCAGAATCTCTTTTGATGAGACTTCTCCTAAAAAAAGCTCTCATGACGTGTCTTTCTTCAAAGGAAATTACTCATTCTCGCAAACTCTTTTCTAAGGAGACTCTCTGCTATAGTGACTATCTCTTGAAAAAGTCTCTCTTAGAGAAACTAACACCAAAAGGGACTCTTTCCAGGAGAGTTTTTTCCCTGCCGAAACGCTCTTCTAAAGAAATTCTCTTCAGAGGACTCTTTTCTAAGAAGACTTTTCCCTAAGAAAGTCTCTCCTAAGAAGACTCCCTTCTAAGAAGACTCTCTATTAAGGAGACTCTTTCCTAAGAAGACTTAATGTTTAGAAAATTCTTTCCTAAAAAGACTTAATATTAAGAAGACTCTCTCCAAAGAAGAATTGCTTAAAATAAGCTTCTTCTTCTAACACGACTTTTTTT